AAACAGCAATCAGTGTTACTACTGGATGCAGGTAGAATGCGTGGCGCACCCCAGAATGTTGAATTTATCCTTCGAGTTTTCATGGGCATTCTCATTGCGTTGTGTACCGTGATAGCGTGACGGGCAGTAATGAGGGGCAAGGTATTCAGAAAGAGTGAGATTTCACTTATTCTCGAAAAAAGGGTTCTCATTGTTATTTGAAAGAACTAACCCACAGCATTGAATGGAAGAAATAAGTATTCGAAGGATAAAGTTGTCGTCGTTGATCAGTCCCTTTTTGGGATGCGGCACGCTTTCTACTTCCATTCGTAATTGTAGTGGCCTTATTGAATGCGATGTGGCCTATACAATGACTTGCGGGGCCAGCCGATGTACAAGTCAGTGTTTTATCCTCCCAGACGAATCTGGTACCAATTCACCGTCCCCGGAGGGTAGAAGGCTTGGTTGGCCTAGACGGGAGCCCATCCGGGTTTTGACTCTCGGACCGCGCGCGTGGTAACGTGCCACTTGCCGCTACACTACTCCACCCTACGGGCGGAAGACTATTAAGTTAGTTAAAAATTGTCTCGTATGTGTAGATCATAGCTGTCAAAGTCTCACTAAATAGCATGTTGCGGTATAAAGTTATAAAGTGGCGAAATTTTCACTAAATCCATTAATAAGTGGGCGGAGTCGTCGGGGGCGGAGTCAAGTGTACTATATAGTTATAGTGTTGTCAAGGGTCTATCTGTCAACAGAGATAAAAGTGTAAAAAACTGATGTAACAACTATATACAGGGGGGGGGCAAAAAAAAGTCGCTTTTCCTTGACTTTCGAGGCGCTATAAGATTACACTTTATCAAATTCTGATCGGACATTTCTACCACCATATGCCATCGAGAGATTCTGCCACGTGACCGTGAGTGGGTACCTGAGCTCAGCGAGATAGTTGATTTCTCCGCCACTGTAGACCGCCCTGTTGAGCTCCCCCGAACCGGATAATTGAGGGCGTTTAGGTCAGGTGACCTACTTAGATATATTCCATCTTCTTCAGGTACTCAGCCCCTTCCATTCCAAGTAGGAGTGTTTCTCCAACGCCCTTCGATTTCATGTGGTGGCACTCAATGCTGTAGCAGTACAAAGTTTCCAAGAAGGTACGGGCGACGACATGTGAGGAGGATATTCTTCACGGTTGCGCCAATTATACCGCCAGCGCTCACCTTCAATCGCGGGTGCAGTGAAGAAAATATCGGTTATTCCGCTTTTCCGCGCTACGTCCGGTCCATACCATCAAACGTCGGCTCCTTGGCGATCTGTGGTGAAGATGATGTCCTAAACAGACACGTTGTCGGTACTGCTCGTGCTGGAGATTTTTCCAGACTGAGAGGTACTAGTCTAGTAGCTCGCATGGGTACTCCATAACAAGAATTGTCGCAGCTCGTTCGGAGATGACATGAAATTTCAAAGGTCTTCTCCAGTCAGGCTGCGACTGGAGATGACTTCATATTTTGGTGTACATGAAGGTGATGGGCGAGAGCCAGCTCCTGCTTATCGAGGAACATCTTGGGTATCTTCCGCCCTGGTACTCGTATCCACGTCCTCTGTCTGGGCTGCGAAAACTTTGCTGATATGTGACTCGGTTGACTTTTTTTGCCCCCCCTGTATTTGTTGAGTATTATACATGTAGAATGTGTCGCGACAAAAAGGGGCGGAGTTATCTGGGGGCGGGGCATGTAATGGAGATGTAATATAGTGTAGTGTGTGTAGAAAATGTCTATGAAGGGCTATTCGTGCAAAAGTTGCAAAAAGAGCCACTTCGAACAAAGATTTTAAGTAAAGTAAGCTTTTTGGTATCACTACACTAACGAATACTAAGGGGAGGAACCTACAGAACTGAGCGGCTTCCGTTCAGTGTTGTATTTTGAACTCTTGATTTCTATTGTAGTAAGACAGTATTGCATTTCCATCTGATGAAGGTGGGACAAATTCCATGACCCGCACAAAGCGGGAAACCAACGGCGTTCGAAAAGCACTGTGAAACTGCCCAGGAAAAGAGAGGGTGTGGCGCATTCCAAAAGACACGCGATTCTGAAGGCCAAATGTCCTGTCGCAACCGTCATGTAGTGCTTTCATTCGTATATGGTGCTTTTCATTTCTGTACCTTACCCAGCCGGTCATGACAGGATTTTGTTGAGGGCTCTCTTGTTCCCTGACCACCCTGAAAGGTACACTACACAATTTATGTGGCGGCTTCTCAGATACGAGGTATGGCACACATCGGGCGGGGCGCATTTCGGAGCCATAAATACAGATCTACGAAAGCTTGTGAAGCTTTGAAGTGATGCTAGTCAAAGTTTGTAGAAACTACTTGACAACTTTTAGGAATACCTGTCAACTTTCGTAAGGCAATGAACACCACAACGGGAAGCAGCGAAAGTGCGAAAGGCCACCTTTCTCTTACCTCTCCCCTACCCGAACTGCGCCAGGGATGTTCTTCAACAGAACTTAGCAGCGAGAATGCGTCTGTATGCTATTGGTTTGAGCGACTCTGAATGCAAAGGGTGTAGTGAGTACTAATAATAGAACAAGTATTTAATCACATCACTTAATAATGACTGCACAAATAGTACGTCAGTACGTAGCCGCTCATTAGATCCTCTTACTGTTCAAAGTGCAGCAGTGAACTTACATTTATTTATATCACAAGAATTTGTTCCCT